AGAACTAGAACAGAACTAGAACAGAACTAGAACAGAACTAGAACAGAACTAGAACAGAACTAGAACAGAACTAGAACAGAACTAGAACAGAACTAGAACAGAACTAGAACAGAACTAGAACAGAACTAGATCAGAACTAGAACAGAACTAGAACAGAACTAGAACAGAACTAGAACAGAACTAGAACAGAACTAGAACAGAACTAGAACAGAACTAGAACAGAACCAGAACAGAACTAGAACAGAATAGAACTAAAAGAAGAAAACATCAAGAACAAATTAAATTGAAGTACAGCATTGTTGTTGGGATAAAAAACTTGTCTACTTAATTAAAAAAATCTCTATGGAAACTTTGTAATCCCACTATGGCTATCCCCTCTATTTGATCATTCTACAGTCAGCTTATAATTCCATTTTATTGATAAGGAAGTTCAACTACATTAAATAACCTGGGGAGAGTTATCTACAATAACTGTTTGATAAAAAGAAAAAAATTAAAAATAATTTCCTATTAATTCCTTTTGTGTTTCCTGTTTCCTTCTCCACTAAGCATACCACCATAAAGGAATACCTGTAACTACATTAAAACGATTTTAATTGAAATTTTATCAGCTTATATTTCAATTTAGATCATTTACATAAATTATACACATACATATTTGCATACATACATACTATTTATAATAATACAAAAAAAATTAAGCACGAGTTTCTAGAGATAAAAATCAATATTTCATATGGAAACAAAAAGCTGCCAACATACCGCCAACATCATTCTAGAATTGCTTCATCATTGTTTCAATTTACATTTCCTTTTTATTTTATTTTGGTCTTATTCATGGTATTTTATTGTTTTTCTATATAAGAGATATTTTTATGCCACTCTTTTTATTTACATATACATTTCTTAATTTAAAGTCTAGACATGTATAAAGTGATTTATTTATAAAAAATTTATATGAAACTGTTCTTTTTTTTGGAAAACTGTATAAATATGAAGGCGAGAAAGTTATTTTAAAAATTTATCAGGTTTAATGATGTGTAATTAAAACGGCACATGGAACATATTTTTAACACAAGATGGAAATTTTCTGCTTTACATTGTGGGATTTGAAATTAAGATTGTGTGTTTCTAGCAGTTGTTGTTCAGTTCCTGTTCATTTTAATTCAGTTCTAGTTCAGTTCTGTACTAGTTCTGTTCTAGTTCTGTCTAGTTCTGTTTCTAGTTCTGTTCTAGTTCTGTTCTAGTTCAGTTTCTAGTTCAGTTCTAGTTCAGTTCTAGTTCTAATTCTGTTCTAGTTCTGTTCTAGTTCTGTTCTAGTTCTGTTCTAGTTCTGTTCAGTTCTGTTCTAGTTCTGTTCTAGTTCTGTTCTAGTTCTGTTCTAGTTCTGTTCTAGTTCTGTTCTAGTTCTGTACTAGTTCTGTTCTAGTTCTGTTCTAGTTCTGTTTTAGTTCTGTTCTAGTTATGTTCTAGTTCTGTTCTAGTTTTGTTCTAGTTCTGTTCTAGTTCTGTTCTAGTTCTGTTCTAGTTCTGTTCTAGTTCTGTTCTAGTTCTTTCTAGTTCTAGTTCTGTTCTAGTTCTGTTCTAGTTCAGTTCTAGTTCAGTTCTAGTTCAGTTCTAGTTGAGTTCTAGTTCAGTTCAGTTCTAGTTCAGTTGTAGTTCAGTTCTAGTTCAGTTCTAGTTCAGTTCTAGTTGAGTTCTAGTTGAGTTCTAGTTCAGTTCTAGTTCAGTTCCAGTTCAGTTCTAGTTCAGTTCTAGTTCAGTTCTAGTTCAGTTCTAGTTCAGTTCTAGTTCAGTTCTAGTTCAGTTCTAGTTCAGTTCTAGTTCAGTTCTAGTTCAGTTCTAGTTCAGTTCTAGTTCAGTTCTAGTTCAGTTCTAGTTCAGTTCTAGTTCAGTTCTAGTTCAGTTCTAGTTCAGTTCTAGTTCAGTTCTAGTTCAGTTCTAGTTCAGTTCTAGTTCAGTTCTAGTTCAGTTCTAGTTCAGTTCTAGTTCAGTTCTAGTTCAGTTCTAGTTCAGTTCTAGTTCAGTTCTAGTTCAGTTCTAGTTCAGTTCTAGTTCAGTTCTAGTTCAGTTCTAGTTCAGTTCTAGTTCAGTTCTAGTTCAGTTCTAGTTCAGTTCTAGTTCAGTTCTAGTTCAGTTCTAGTTCAGTTCTAGTTCAGTTCTAGTTCAGTTCTAGTTCAGTTCTAGTTCAGTTCTAGTTCAGTTCTAGTTCAGTTCTAGTTCAGTTCTAGTTCAGTTCTAGTTCAGTTCTAGTTCAGTTCTAGTTCAGTTCAAGTTCAGTTCTAGTTCAGTTCTAGTTCAGTTCTAGTTCAGTTCTAGTTCAGTTCTAGTTCTGTTCTAGTTCTGTTCTAGTTCTGTTCTAGTTCTGTTCTAGTTCTGTTCTGATCTAGTTCTGTTTGTTCTAGTTCTGTTCCAGTTCTTTTCTAGTTCTGTTCTAGTTCTGTTCTAGTTCTGTTAGTTCTGTTCTGTTCTAGTTCTGTTCTAGTTCTGTTCTAGTTCTGTTCTAGTTCTGTTCTAGTTCTGTTCTAGTTCTGTTCTAGTTCTGTTCTAGTTCTGTTCTAGTTCTGTTCTAGTTTCTGTTCTAGTTCTGTTCTAGTTCTGTTCTAGTTCTGTTCTAGTTCTGTTCTAGTTCTGTTCTAGTTCTGTTCTAGTTCTGTTCTAGTTCTGTTCTAGTTCTGTTCTAGTTCTGTTCTAGTTCTGTTCTAGTTCTGTTCTAGTTCTGTTCTAGTTCTGTTCTAGTTCTGTTCTAGTTCTGTTCTAGTTCTGTTCTAGTTCTGTTCTAGTTCTGTTCTAGTTCTGTTCTAGTTCTGTTCTAGTTCTGTTCTAGTTCTGTTCTAGTTCTGTTCTAGTTCTGTTCTAGTTCTGTTCTAGTTCTGTTCTAGTTCTGTTCTAGTTCTGTTCTAGTTCTGTTCTAGTTCTGTTCTAGTTCTGTTCTAGTTCTGTTCTAGTTCTGTTCTAGTTCTGCTCTAGTTCAGTTCTAGTTCAGTTCTAGTCAGTTCTAGTTCAATTCTAGTTCAGTTCTAGTTCAGTTCTGTTCTAGTTCAGTTCTAGTTCAGTTCTAGTTCAATTCTAGTTCAGTTCTAGTTCAGTTCTAGTTCTGTTCTAGTTCTGTTCTAGTTCTGTTCTAGTTCTGTTCTAGTTCTGTTCTAGTTCTGTTCTAGTTCTGTTCTAGTTCTGTTCTAGTTCTGTTTTAGTTCTGTTCTAGTTCTGTTCTAGTTCTGTTCTAGTTCTGTTCTAGTTCTGTTCTAGTTCTGTTCTAGTTCTGTTCTAGTTCTGTTCTAGTTCTGTTCTAGTTCTGTTCTAGTCTGTTCTAGTTCTGTTCTAGTTCTGTTCTAGTTCTGTTCTAGTTCTGTTCTAGTTCTGTTCTAGTTCTGTTCTAGTTCTGTTCTAGTTCTGTTTAGTTCTGTTCTAGTTCTGTTCTAATTCAGTACTATTTCAGTTCTAGTTCACTTCTAGTTCACTTCTCGTTCACTTCTAGTTCACTTCTAGTTCAATTCTAGTTCAATTCTAGTTCAGTTTTAGTTAAGTTCTTGTTCTGTTCTAATTCAGTTCTAATTCAGTTCTAATTCAGTACCCAGTTCAGTTCTAGTTCAATTCTAGTTCAGTTTTAGTTAAGTTCTAGTTTAGTTTTAGTTCAGTTCTAGTTCAGTTCTGGTTCAGTTCTAGTTCAGTTGTAGTTCAGGTCTAGTGTGTTTTCAATATTTAGAATTGTCATTTTTCTAAAAAAAGTTCTATTAAAATTCTTTAATTCATTGCATTAATTCAATTAATTGAATAATGCAATTATTTTACTTCATTATTTATATAGATTTTTGCCTACGCGCTTAATTCTCCTCTAAGTGTTGTTAATTGTGTAAATCTGTTTATAATTTATTTATTATTACAAAAAAAAAAAAAAAACATACACTTCTATCTTATTGATATTATACCATCCAATTATTCTAATTACTTTATGCTCAAAGTCGCAAAATTGTAAATTGAATGCCACACCACCACCTCCATGTAAATATTTATAACACAAGTCAGGTAAGAAACGAAGAAAACAAAGTAAAACAATTTCATTTAACTATTACTTTCCGTGAGTGTTTTTTTTTTGCAATTTTTTCTAATTTTCGTTGTAATTCAGTTCAGTTTAATATGGTTTTTTATTTCAGCTTTTTTTTTTGCCTTACTCGTCATTACTATTATTTTTATTGAGTTTCATTTTCTTGTTTTCCTCGTTATAAAAATCGCGTTTTATTCGGTGGAGAGTTAAAATAGGGACTGTTTAAAGGAAATGTTAAATTTTTTTAAAAGAAGAAGAAAATAAGAGAACTTTTAGTGGCAGATTTAGTGGTGCCAATAAAATATTGTAGGCTTAACTAACTAGTTTGTTTGCTGGCATTAAGATTTTGGAAAAATATGCTATAACAAAATGTTCGTAAATAGAGCAAAATAATATTTAAGTTTGGTTGTATGAACCATATTTGATAACCACAACTAAGAAATTTGATCCCTTCGAACAAAATCTGTTCTCTCATTTGATATTTACAACTCTTTCTAAAAGAAGAGAAAATTAAAGAACTTTTAGTGCAGATTTAGTGGTCCCAATAAAATATTGTAGGCTCAACTAAGTAGTTTGTTTGCTGGCATTAAGATTTTGCAAAAATAGTCGCTATAAACAAGATGTATCTTTGCTACAACCAAATGTTTGTAAAGAGAGAAAATAATATTTAAGTTTGGTTGTATCAAACATATTTGATAACCACAACTAAGAAATTTGATCCCTTCGAACAAAATATGTTCTCTCATTTGAAATTTACAACTCTTTTCATAACACTCTGTTCATATTCCCATATTGTAATGTGTTGTAAGTGTAATAGCGCGGTAATAGCAAATGGCAACATTAATAACAACAACTACTACAATAACAACAACCCACAGTTTGCCTCTATTCATTCAGTCAATAACGCCAGTCAATTCAGTCATTAACATTAAACAAAAAAATAGTCATAGATGAGTTGAAAACACTGGCAGTACAATAGACTTAAGGGCTATTTTTCAATTCTATACGAAATCAAGCATTGTTGCTGCTGCTGTTGTTGTTGTAGTAGTCGTCGACATCATTATCATCATCAGCATTCTCATAATCAGCTGTGTAGTCGACGTTTGTATTTCAAAAAGCTTTTAACATTTACAATTTTCCTACAAGTTTTTTTTTTTTCAGTTCATTCTTTTCGAAATGTCGACGTTTATAATCACAACCAGACGAACTAAGTATTATGAGGCAAAACGTTAAATTGACCCTAAATGTTGGCAATTTAGAAGGTGGTAATAGTAACAATATTAAACTCAATTGGCTAAGGTTAGTTAAGTGCAAATATATCAAAACACACAAACAGCAGCAAATGCCAAAAAGGAATAAAACTTTTCTAGTGAAATTATAACGATAATAACGACAAGTGTTCATAAACACCGAAAGAAAAAAAAAAAAAAAAAAAAAAAATAAATAAAATACCAAAATCAGCCATAAATGTTTAATGGATTTATGTCTCCATGGCGTAGAGATAATGAAAAGTAAGTGAGTGAAAGTGTCAAAACTAAATTAAGGTTAAAAATGTAATTAAAGTAAGAATTTGTTAACGGGATATTATAAGTGTTTAAATGTGTTTGACATGAAAGGATATTTCCGGATGTTTATTAAAGGAAATGCAAATCATTAAAAATTACAAGGTTTCTAAATGGTGGTTATAAAAAAGTAGTTAAAATTACAGAATTTAGAACTACTTCAATATCAGTTTAATGCAGTTCTAGTTCTGTTCTGGATGTGTTTAAGTTGTGTTCTAGTTGTGTTCTATTTCTATTCTAGTGCTGTTTTAGTTCAGTTCTAGTTCTGTTCTAGTTCTGCTCTAGTTCAGTTCTAGTTCAGTTCTAGTTCAGTTCTAGTTCAGTTCTAGTCAGTAGTTCAGTTCTAGTTCAGTTCTAGTCAGTTCTAGTTCATAGTTCTAGTTCAGTTCTAGTTCAGTTCTAGTTCAGTTCTAGTTCAGTTCTAGTTCAGTTCTAGTTCAGTTCTAGTTCAGTTCTAGTCAGTTCTAGTTCAGTTCTAGTTCAGTTCTAGTTCAGTTCTAGTTCAGTTCTAGTTCAGTTCTAGTTCAGTTCTAGTTTCAGTTCTAGTTCAGTTCTAGTTCAGTTTAGTTCTAGTTCAGTTCTAGTTCAGTTCTAGTTCAGTTCTAGTTCAGTTCTAGTTCTGTTCTAGTTCTGTTCTAGTTCTGTTCTAGTTCTGTTCTAGTTCTGTTCTAGTTCTGTTCTAGTTCTGTTCTAGTTCTGTTCTAGTTCTGTTCTAGTTCTGTTCTAGTTCTGTTCTAGTTCTGTTCTAGTTCTGTTCTAGTTCTGTTCTAGTTCTGTTCTAGTTCTGTTCTAGTTCTGTTCTAGTTCTGTTCTAGTTCTGTTCTAGTTCTGTTCTAGTTCTGTTCTAGTTCTGTTCTAGTTCTGTTCTAGTTCTGTTCTAGTTCTGTTTAGTTCTGTTCTAGTTCTGTTCTAGTTCTGTTCTAGTTCTGTTCTAGTTCTGTTCTAGTTCTGTTCTAGTTCTGTTCTAGTTCTGTTCTAGATCTGTTCTAGTTCTGTTCTAGTTCTGTTCTAGTTCTGTTCTAGATCTGTTCTAGTTCTGTTCTAGTTCTGTTCTAGTTCAGTTCTAGTTCAGTTCTAGTTCAGTTCTAGTTCAGTTCTAGTTCAGTTTTAGTTCAGTTCTAGTTCAGTTCTAGTTCAGTTCTAGTTCAGTTCTAGTTCAGTTCTAGTTCAGTTCTAGTTCAGTTCTAGTTCAGTTCTAGTTCAGTTCTAGTTAAGTTCTAGTTCAGTTCTAGTTCAGTTCTAGTTCAGTTCTAGTTCAGTTCTAGTTCAGTTCTAGTTCAGTTCTAGTTCAGTTCTAGTTCAGTTCTAGTTCTGTTCTAGTTCTGTTCTAGTTCTGTTCTAGTTCTGTTCTAGTTCTGTTCTAGTTCTGTTCTAGTTCTGTTCTAGTTCTGTTCTAGTTCTGTTCTAGTTCTGTTCTAGTTCTGTTCTAGTTCTGTTCTAGTTCTGTTAGTTCTGTTCTAGATCTGTTCTAGTTCTGTTCTAGTTCTGTTCTAGTTCTGTTCTAGTTCTGTTCTAGTTCTGTTCTAGTTCTGTTCTAGTTCTGTTCTAGTTCTGTTCTAGTTCTGTTCTAGTTCTGTTCTAGTTCTGTTCTAGTTCTGTTCTAGTTCTGTTCTAGTTCTGTTCTAGTCTGTTCTAGTTCTGTTCTAGTTCTGTTCTAGTTCTGTTCTAGTTCTGTTCTAGTTCTGTTCTAGTTCTGTTCTAGTTCTGTTCTAGTTCTGTTCTAGTTCTGTTCTAGTTCTGTTCTAGTTCTGTTCTAGTTCTGTTCTAGTTCTGTTCTAGTTCTGTTCTAGTTCTGTTCTAGTTCTGTTCTAGTTCTGTTCTAGTTCTGTTCTAGTTCTGTTCTAGTTCTGTTCTAGTTCTGTTCTAGTTCTGTTCTAGTTCTGTTCTAGTTCTGTTCTAGTTCTGTTCTAGTTCTGTTCTAGTTGCTGTTCTAGTTCTGTTCTAGTTCTAGTTCTGTCTAGTTCTGTTCTAGTTCTGTTCTAGTTCTGTTCTAGTTCTGTTCTAGTTCTGGTTCTAGTTCTGTTCTAGTTCTGTTCTAGTTCTGTTCTGTTTCTGTTCTAGTTCTGTTCTAGTTCTGTTCTAGTTCTGTTCTAGTTCTGTTCTAGTTCTGTTCTAGTTCTGTTCTAGTTCTGTTCTAGTTCTGTTCTAGTTCTGTTCTAGTTCTGTTCTAGTTCTGTTCTAGTTCTGTTCTAGTTCTGTTCTAGTTCTGTTCTAGTTCTGTTCTAGTTCTGTTCTAGTTCTGTTCTAGTTCTGTTCTAGTTCTGTTCTAGTTCTGTTCTAGTTCTGTTCTAGTTTCTGTTCTAGTTTCTGTTCTAGTTCTGTTCTAGTTCTGTTCTAGTTCTGTTCTAGTTCTGTTCTAGTTACTGTTCTATTGTTCTAGTTCTGTTCTAGTTCTGTTCTAGTTCTGTTCTAGTTCGTTCTAGTTCTGTTCTAGTTCTGTTCTAGTTCTGTTCTAGTTCTGTTCTAGTTGTTCTAGTTCTGTTCTAGTTCTGTTCTAGTTCTGTTCTAGTTCTGTTCTAGTTCTGTTCTAGTTCTGTTCTAGTTCTGTTCTAGTTCTGTTCTAGTTCTGTTCTAATTCTGTTCTAGTTCTGTTCTAGTTCTGTTCTAGTTCTGTTCTAGTTCTGTTCTAGTTCTGTTCTAGTTCTGTTCTAGTTCTGTTCTAGTTCTGTTCTAGTTCTGTTCTAGTTCTGTTCTAGTTCTGCTCTAGTTCTGTTCTAGTTCTGTTCTAGTTCTGTTCTAGTTCTGCTCTAGTTCTGTTCTAGTTCTGTTCTAGTTCTGTTCTAGTTCTGTTCTAGTTCTGTTCTAGTTCTGTTCTAGTTCTGTATAGTTCTGTTCTAGTTCTGTACTAGTACTGTTCTAGTTTTTTTCTAGTTCTGCTGTAGTCCTGTTTTAGTATTGTTTTAAGTTATTTATATATGTTACTCTTATTTAGCAGATCCTAGCAACATGTTGCTCTTTGTATTATTTACAGTTTATTAATTAACTCTCTTATTTAAAAAAATGTATTTAAAAATTTAATTTTTTAAATGCATTTCTTTTAGCTTTATTTAACCAAGTGTTTTTCTGTTGTTGTTTTTTTTTTCATACAAAATTTTGTTGGCAACATTTTCTGCTTTACATTCATATACTACATGATATTTTTTTCCACCCAAAATTGTTTATATTCATTTATCTCTGTTATAGTTTTTCTGTGTAATTTTAATAACCCCAAACATGTTTTGAGTGTATTAAACTATAGTATTTTTTTATGTTTGTGTTGTGAGAAAAAAAAAAAAAACAACAAGAAATTGGAGCTCAATTTTATTCAATTGTATGCGAGCGAGTCAGTGGACAGGGAAACGGAATATGTGTATTAAAAAAATAGACTTTTGTTATTTAAATTTGTAGGTTTTTATGTAGATGTATGTATGTATGAATGAGTAGTAGTGCAAGAGGATGTAGTAGTCGTGGCCAGGTTTAACCTAAAAATGGCTTTAGTTAAAAGTTTTATTTGTTTGTTGTTGTGTTGTTCTTATTTAAAAAAATGTAAAAAAAAAATTGTAGCTTTTAAGTTGAAAAAATATAGGAAATAAAGTGGTAAACAGTAGAGCTGAAAGTTGGGAAAATCATGGTTATGAAAGAATACATATAGAGTTATTTCTGGTTAAGTTGTTAAGTTAATCTTGCTTAAATCTGAAATCTTAACTTTAGCTTTTTAGTGTTTTTAGAAAGTCCTCATTAGTTAGTAGTTCTACCCACAGTACAGTGCAATTGTACCTTCTACTGCATATTATTGTTAAAGGCAATGTTATCATGTTCTTTTTGTATGATTGAGGCTGTGTGTGTGTGTGTGTGTGTTTGTTTGTTTGTGATGTTGTTGGTTGCAACAATTTACATACAGTTGTTATATTTGTCTACCCATCCGTCCGTCTATCCTTCCATCCTCCTGTCTGTCCATCCAATCGTCGTTTCATTTTACAAACAACTACTACAACTACTTCTACAATTTACAAATGACTGTCGTCGTGGTCACTTCCGGTGCGTAGTAATATCATTGTGTGCAAGCGTGAGTATGTGCATGTGTTTAAGTATGTGTTTGTGCTTAAGTGTGTATGTTTCAGTTCATGTTTGTGTGTCTGTCTGTCTGCATAAGTGTGTTTATGAAATTCTATAAAACCCCATGTGGCAAAGGCTCAACAACAAGCACTTTTAATGGCCTACAACCGCGTCCGCAATTGGTTTTTTGTACCGATTCCTTTTTTGCTTTTTTTTTGCTCGTTGCATTCACTATGCTTCAGTTTGTTGTTGTTACGCTGGTGTTTTTAGTTGCAGAGTTTGCCAGGCTTTGGTTTTGGCTGAGTTTGTGTATAAGTTTGTTTTGTATGCAGAACCATACACATTTTTCTTTTCCCCCCAAAAAAAGCAAACCAAAGGCGAAAAAAAGAAATAAAAACCAAAAAAGAACAACAAATAAATATTGTTGTATTTGTATTGTTAAGCCTTTACAACATTTTGCAATTGTTTCTATATTGCCACTGCAACGTACATACATACAGCCAATTGTTGTAGTCAATTTGCATTTGTATGCTTAATGTTGCTGTTGTTGTAGTTGCTGATGGTGTTTTTTTGTATAAATTGAAAATAAAAATAAATATCAAAACATTATTATAAACAATTCTGGAAAAAATATATAAACTTGATACTTTTTAAGGTACTAAAAGGCCAAAAGGACCACTTTACCTTTTAACAAATAAATTCCATTTTCTGGCTAAACTAGAAGAGCTAGGGCCAAAAGGAAGAAAATCTGTGATCACTTTTGTTTCCTATTAAAATTAAATTTTTGAGTGAAAACCTAAAAATCCATTTTCTGGCTAAATAAGAAGAGCTAGGGCCAAAAGA